TCAAATAAATAAATAAATCTTTAAAAAAATAAATAAATAAATAAATAAATAAATAAAATCTTAAAAAAAAAAAAAGGGCAGCCCGAAATTATACTACATATATGGGGGGAAGGGAAGGATGCAAACCCCCAAAATAAGGAGACTGCTTAAGCAAAATACAGAAATCAGTACTAGCAACTACTACATGTAAAACACTAACTTGTGAACTCAATTCATGGAGCAATGAGCAGTGAGACAACTGCCATTTATCAGCAGTGGTTGTGCTTGCTTCCCGTGTTTAACACTTACATTTTCTATTTTATAACCAATTCTCAGTAAGCCTCCGATAAAGAATGAATCATTCTGCAAAACAAAACAACAAAACACGAACCATCTTCAATCAGTTACACTTGAATTTTCCCGTGGACAGAAAAAAATCCTACATTTCAGAAATACTGCTATGTGTACACAGAGTCCACTTCCCACAAGCACTTTCATGCCCAATTTACCTCCTAAGAACCCTAAAACAAGAATTCAGAAGTAGTCTTACATTGGCTTCTAATAATAAAATGGCTTAGTGTAACTTTTAGATGTATGGACTTTAAAGTTCATTACATCAAGATTTTTTTATGAAACTACAGTGACTGATATAAGGAATAGCAAAGGAGGGGCGCCTGGGTGGCTCAGCTGGTTAAGCGTCTGCCTTTGGCTCAGGTCAGGATCTCAGGGTCCGAGGGGACCGAGCCCCGCGTCAGGCTCCCTGCTCAGTGGGGAGTCTGCTTCTCCCTCTGCCTCTCACTCACTCTCTCTCTCAAATAAATAAATAAAATCTTAAAAAAAAAAAAAAGGAATAGCAGAGGCTCATCAGCAGGAAATAAACACTTGGCTCCATAACTCCATAACCAACTGAAACAGGAAATGATCAAATGGCTTTCAAGGGAAAGAACCTTCAGTATAATACAGGGCACTGCCTCAAATACTATATAATGGAAGTTTACCCCAAAGATCAAGTATATGTTGTGGTGCTGCTGCCAGAGGCATGATTTCACAAGAAAGAACCCATCACTTTCAGTGACAAAAGTTCCTATGAACCAGGAGCTTTCTTTCATCTGTGACAAATTCCATTTTCTATCCTTTAATGATGAGGAATGTCCTGGATCTCATCATTCATGTCAGAACCAGGAAGACTGCCGTCTACCTAATCTCTCAAATACATAGCACAAACTCACAGGTAGTAGAACAATCTCAGGTTCAATCAAACTGAAACCATTACCTGTTAACCACCATAAATGAGTAACATGGGCCTGACACCATATAAATTATATTCTTTTTTTTTTTTTAAAGATTTTATTTATTTATTTGAGAGAGAGAGAATGAGAGACAGAGAGCACGAGAGGGAGGAGGGTCAGAGGGAGAAGCAGACTCCCTGCCGAGCAGGGAGCCCGATGCGGGACTCGATCCCGGGACTCCAGGATCATGACCTGAGCCGAAGGCAGTCGCTTAACCAACTGAGCCACCCAGGCGCCCCTATAAATTATATTCTTTAGATACAGGGGGCCAAATACACATTCCACCACTTACCACAACTTTCTTTGCCAAATCCACAATATCTTCCATCAATTCCAGATGTTGTAATTTCTTCAAACTTATCTCAGAAGCATGAGAATTGCTTAAATACAAATTCATTTTTAAAAAAATTAGGTTCTCATATATAAAAATTCATTGAGCTTTACGCTTTACTGTATGTTACACCCCAATTTAAACTACTTGAAAAAATTAAATTCTCTTACTTCACTTTAGGTAACTGTAAGTTGTTAAGTGGACAAAATACTTTACCTTTTTCTCTCTTCTGTACTACAATGCTGCTATTTATAAACAAGCATATCAATTTTCCTTCAGTTTCAAATCTACCATCTAATGCTCCTCAGAGGTTCACCATCATAATGTCACTAATCATGTCACCATGATTAGTCATTCTTATCCAAATCCAAAGCATTAACTTTTTCCATCTTATTACGTAAGAGTGAAGTTGAACAGTATATACAAGAATAAGACATAAGCCTTCCCCTGTACTTGACATTCCTCAATAATGGGCAACATGCTTATCATCACTGTTTACACAAAATGAATGAAGTGTAGTAACTTACGCAGCCTCCACACAGGGGTGCAACCGTGATATTATAGAACTGTGCTGACGTTGAAACAGAAGTGGCCAGAAGATGTATATTTTAATGGCATCACAGTAATCTTGCAGGACAGAAACTGGTTTACTACACCACATATTGCAGATGTCAAATTCTTTATTAAAAAAAGTTTTAAATTAATATTTTATGCCTCATTTTGGAATAAATCAACACTGTTAATAGAGAAATGGCTACAATGGATATGGAAAGGTAAGAAAGAAGGGGATGAGCAAAACAGATGAAGGGGACTAAGAAGTAAAACTTCCACTTATAAAATAAACAAATCACGGGGATGTAAAGTTCAGACAGCATAGGGAATATAGTCAGTAACATGGTAATAACTTCGTATGGCAACATATAATAACTACACTTATCATGGTAAGCACTTCGTAATGTATATAAATGTCCAATCACTATGCTGTACACCTGATACTAATATAATATTGCATGTCAACTATACTTCAATTAAAAATACATTAATCAAAAAGTAAAAAAAATGAAAGATATGTAGGACTGCTTTGTTGATGTGAATGGATGAACCTCCCACAACAGTCTCTCAACAAATTAAAATACCAATGTACTCACCTAAGTTTCTCTCACTTTGAGTAAAATCTTTATACTGCATACCCTAAACAGAAAAAAATTCTTTTGATTTGTATCTGGTGAAATGCAAAAATATAGTTTTCAATTTTTAATGTAAGGATTATCAGTACTAAACTAACAAATTTTTCAGTACACATTTACTTATACATTTTGATTACAATATCTTCGGCCGGTGAGTCCTTTAGGCTTTTTTTTTTAAAGTGTTTCCCCCAAGTCTGCGTCTACGGCTATCTCTTGAGAGTATTCTAATCTCCAGTCAGAAAACCATCTTCCCCTATCAGTACTGAACGTTCTTGTTGTTGAGACACTGTTTACTTTCTCTTCTGAAATCGCATTTGAAACTCCCTGTAAAAACTTGACCCCGCAAAAACATCTTTACTCCCATAGCTCTAAATTAAAAACCTTTAAAATGTAGACATTAAGTCCTCAGAATAAAAAAAGATCTGTAACTATGAATGGTGATGGATGTAGTTTTTTGTTTTTTTTTAAAGATTTTATTTATTTATTTGGAGAGAGAGAGAGAGAGTTAGCAAGAGCAGGAACACAAGCAGGGGGGGGAGTGGGAGAGGGAGAAGCAGGCTCTCCGCTGAGCAGGCAGCCTGATGCAGGGCTCGATCCCAGGACCCTGGAATCATGACCTGAGCTGAAGGCAGACCCGTAACGACTGAGCCACCCAGGCGCCCCGATGGATGTAGTTTTAACTAGACTTACTGTGGTGATAATTTCACAACATTTACACATTTCAAGTCATTATGTTGTACACCAGAAACTAATACAATGTCATATGTCAATTATATCTTAATAAAATAATAAACCTTTAAGAAGACACAATGTTAAAACAAAAAAGCAACAAATCTTACCACCCCATCGCAGTAAAGTTGTGTCACACGAACATAATCATTGGACATAAATTCAGGAGCAAAGACACAATCATCCACATAAGGGCAATCTTCTAACAAGGCATCATCTGCTACAGTGAAATCTCCCAGGGCAAAATCGTCCATGCTGTACCATCCTAAGGAAACAACACAAACCCAAATCAGTAATTAAATCATTTGAGATAATATGAGAAGCAGTTTTCCTGGCTTCTATGGTATATTAGAAAAATCCTTCGAACTTAGGCTTCCCCAAAATAATCAGTAAGAACACTGAGTCTGGAAGACTCTTATCCTCAGTCTGCTGCTATTCTTTCCCCAACTCTCTTCAAATACCAGTTTAATCTTTTTTTTCTTAAGCTCACATAGTCACCATCTCTACTCTGAACTTATCTGTTACATGTCTCCTTTAGATGGAAGATAATTAAGGGCATCTTAGTCACTTTTGTATGTGCCCAGCACATGGTAAAGCCCTCCAATAATTGTTTGCTGAATGAACAAAAGACATCTTTCCACTGCTGCCCTTTTACCCCATCTGCTTTTACTGCATCCTGTGAAACAATGCCATTTCACCACACACAAACTCCGCCATATTCTCAACCTCCTGGCCAGAAGTAAATCCTGACCCCACTGAGAAAATGGTTTCTTATTGGCTGCTTATATTTCCCTATCCATCCATCCGTGTGTGTTCCTGTCTTGGGCAAAGGGGCCGAGGTGGAGTGGTACAGGGCAAGCTTGTCAATCTCCTAACTCCCCACAGCCGCACCCAGACTTCCATCCTCCTAACAATCACTGCATCTGGCGCTCTCACAACTACCACAACACACAGCACTGCTAGATTGCAAATGTGGGCAAAAAGCCTCAAATTACTAACAGCCTCCTATTATCAAACATATTATCTATGTTTTAAAAAGAATTATTTCAATGGGGGAAAAAGAAAATTAGGGCTGGAGTTTCAGACTAAGGCTTTTTTCTGGAAGAAAGTTTAATAATAAAAATTTATCGCCATCAGAGAATAGCCACAAAACATAAACATCACTAAAAAATGCAGCACAGTAGTCCTTCTAACTCTTGCCCAAGTGATGGCCTTCTTTTCATATCATTATCACCACCACTATTAACACCACTTCTTGGACTTTTCCACTTCACTATTGCCCGGCTATTGTTAGTACAAACCAAGTTTCTTTTTTCCTAAGCAAGACCACCATCGGTCCTCGAAATACAAATCTGTTTAATTCTTATTATGTCCAACTGGCCGTACAAAAACCTCATAGTATGAGAAGTGAAGAACAATAACAATCCTCCTAGCTAACTATTCATACTATTTGTCACACATCATACCGAGCATTTTTACACGCATTATCTCGTTCATCCTCTCGGCAATTCTCAGGTCCAATCATCACCTGCAGTGTATAGATGGGAAGCATTCTGAATAAAATTAAGTAATTTGCTCAAAGTCACCAAGCTAGGAAGGATTCAAACGCAGATCCTCTGATTCCATAGTCTCTCCTCTCACTCTATTTCACTCTATCTACCTTTCCTTGTCATTGCTACCTACTTAGCTCTTGCTTGTCCTGTTTAAGAACACTGGCTGTTAGTTCACAGTGTTCCCAGCTCTCCTCCAAACTCTCACCACCCCAGCCACATCAAGGCCCATGTAGACAATCCCTTCAAGACCCCAGCCTTGCTGTTGACCTCCTTGATTAAAATGATCTTCACCACCCAACACCTAGGCTCTTCCTTCCCAGGCTACAGCTCAGATCACAGTGCAGGTCTAAACTAGTTTTTAAATCTTTAACTCTGATTAGCTCCTTTGACCACAACCAAGAGTCATACTGCTCTTGAGTCCTCCATCACCTACCACAGAAATCTTCATCCTCATCACAATTCTTCCTCCCTTCTCTCCCATTTCCTCCATTCCAATTCACTTTCAGCTTTCTGCAACTGGGTTTCTACTTCTGCCATTCAAGGGAAACTGCTCACAATAAGGTCATTAGTGACCTTCTACAATAGGTTGGTTATCTATCATGTCTGGAACGTGACTTGTTCTGGATGAACAGAGTTTAGGGAATTTAACTCCCTGAAAAAACAGACTAGGACCCAAAGTATGGAATGTAAGATGGGACACATGCTATCTTGGAAATAGACACACTTTTAAACTCATTTGCCTTACAAACATTTTTCGTATGTATACACAGAAAAAGCCAAAAACTCTCTGTCATAGCCCACACATCACCATCACGGCATTGATTACAATCCAGTTAATGTGCTCATACCCAGCAGACCGAGCCACTATGACATCATGCTGGTCATTGTCAGCCTGGCAAACCTCACTGATAGCACACCCTACACCAACTACACTGTAATTAGACACTGGTGTGATTTTTATTTTCTATTTTGTTTTAACCAGAGAGGTGACTGGCACAGGGGTTAATTAAGAGCATGGACTCTGAAATCAGATTGCCTAGGATTGAATCCTGGCTCCCCCATTTCCTGAGTATATGATCTTGGGCAAGTTATTTTACCTCTCTGTACTTCAGTTCCTCATGTATCAAATGCAATAGCAATACTACCTACCTGATTAACCAGTTAACACATTTGTAGTGCTTAGAATAGTACATGGCATATAGGAAATGCTATAAATATCACCTATCATTAACATTAGTATTAGGTGAGTATTTTTAAAAATCCACTGTTTGGATGCTTCCAGCTAAATGGTCTACCTTAATTGCTAAGTCCAAAGAGCACTTTTCAGCTTACAACTTACTTGACGCTGTTGACCACTTCCTCCTCCTCAGAACTCTTCATTTGGACTCCAAAGACCATCTTCTCCTGGTTCTCCTCCTATTCTTCTGGCTGCTTTTCCTCAGTCTCCATGGGCTCTTCTTCTCCATTCCCCACCACCCAAATGTCAACTCTTTTCTTTTCAGGCTTACTCTCTCCTTGGTGACCTTATCCACCACACCCATGGCTTAAAGCAGCACTTTCTGAACTTCCATTATTTGCACAGCTTCACCATGATTTTTGCCATTTCCACATATCACATGTATTTTTATTTACTTAGCATTCCTCTTTTATTGGGCTCACTTGGCCTATGGGATAATATCCATGACATCACAGGTTTGATGCACAACTTCTGTCTTTCATACACATTAAATTCTTAACTATTAAAAAATCTATGTGCCACTTTAAATATCTCAAACTGCACTGTAGCAAACAATCGCTGAAACACCCAAATGCTGAAAAGTCTTTAATTTCTGCAGGCTGCACTGCATCTCTATAGTTATTGGATCAACTGTTACTGGATCTTAAACAAGATGTCCCACAAGCCTATCAAATTCATTAAGTTCAAAAATGAACTTATCTTTTTCCTCAAAAACAAACAAATGAAACCAAGGTCCTTCCTCTTTCTGTATGTTATCAGTCAATTGCTCTACATGCCACTTAGTTAACCAAACCAGCAATCTGGGGGTCAGTCTAGACTCCCCAGTCTCTTTCAACATTCCTATCCAACTGACCACAAAGTCCTATCCTTTCTACCCACCTAAGAAATCTAAAATTAGCACCCACACACCTCTTCATGCCAGCAACACTGCCGTAATTGTCACTTCATCTTTTCTCCTCTGAACTAACTTAACAAGCAGCCTCCTAGCTGGTCACTTGCCCTCAACCTTGGCATTCTCTAAAACTCTGATCATAACATTTCAGTGCTTAAAATCATTCAATAGCTTCCCTTCACCTTCAGAATAAAGTACAAACTCCCTACCATAGCATGGAAGGCCTTTTGTAATCCTGGTCCTGCTTTTATTTCCAGTCACTCCACAACATACAACTTAGAAGCCACTCATACTCAACTGCTTCTGATTCATAAACAAACCTTATTCTGCAGCCACCTAATGCCTACCAGCCCTTAATACTCCATTCTAGGAAGCATTCCTTGATCTGCTCAATACTACCAATTTTCTTTCTGCACCTCTTCTCTGTAAGACCACAGCACCCTGTCCATATCTTTTTGACAGCAGTTCTCACACTGGTCATCACGGATTTATCTTTGTAGGCCCAGAGGGTACACTGTGCCCTACTCATCTTGATTCCCTAACTATTTCTCAAATTTTTTATTCACACTACTCAAGTACAAAACCTTGTGAAATCCACTTGCCACCTATACTACTGTTACTCAGTACTTTTTCCTTGAGAATAATTCAACTTCTAACTTAGATGTAAACTTGTTTTAATAGAAAATTTGATACCACAAGAAATCTTACATTTGGTAGGACGGGTTTTATTTTTCTAATACAAACTCAAGTAAACATATTGCTAAAATTAAACATTAATGTAAAGGACTTCTAATCCCATCAGTTACAATGAAATAATGGGGGACTCTCACTGAAAAACAAAGTAGATCCTAGATTTTAAAAATTTTTAAATTTTGCTGAGCTCATAGAAATAGGGAACATTTAAAGCCACCCTTTCCCCCCGAAAGGAATAAACCTCTAGCTAAAAACTAAAGCTGACAGTCAAGAGCTACAAGTAATGATGCCAAGAGTAATAATGGACACTAAGCCCTGGGCCAGAAGCAAAGTGAGGAAACTGAGCCATGTAAACTCCCTGACTCCCAATGGAAGCAGATACAAATCCTATCAGATCTGTAGCACCCCCAAATCAAACTCTCAAGATCCCACAGGGAAAGATCAATCAAATAGGAGTTCATAACCAAAGATCATCAAGCAAAGGAGGTGACAACCCACCATGAGGCAGAGACAACAGAAAGAACAAGTCATAAATTTAGATCCCTAAAGACATCAGACATTGGGACTACAAGATACAGTCTACAGAATACCCATGGATTCAGAAAAACAAGCAAGCAACATGAGAGTATAAAAGAAAAGATTTGGTATGTCTAAAAAAAGAAGTGGGGGCGCCTGGGTGGCTCAGTTGGTTGAGCGACTGCCTTCAGCTCAGGTCATGATCCCAGGGTCCTGGGATCGAGTCCCGCATCGGGCTCCCGGCTCGTCGGAGAGCCTGCTTCTCCCTCTCCC